TCTCGCGAACGAGAAGAATATCCGCCAAATCAAGGAAGACGTGGACAAAGTGAGGCCCACAGAAGTGGCCAATTTCACGGCCGCACTCATACACGCCTTCGATCTCCTCCAAGTGGTCAGTCATTCATTCACTCATTTATTCACTACCAGTGCTTATTACCAACACTTGTCTCTTATTTTAATCTAATGCCTAATCCGTGAAACTTATTCCCAAATAATGTTTCATTCATTCCTCAACTATCACTCAACTGTTCACTATTTAATACTGTACTACAGTTCAGTGTACAGACTGTACAGTATTTTCCAAACTATTTTTGCAATAACTTAAATCATACTTCACTGCAATGCTAATATAACGATACCATAAATGTACTGTACATACAGTATTACCCTATTTGTTAAACCTTTTATACTGTACAGTGTACAGTACAACTTAATAATTAATATTTTGGTGTAAGATAGTAATGAATGAGTTAGCTATTACCGATAATATTGACTATAAGGTGCCCAAAAATGATTTGAATCACTTTATTATGCAGTATTGAGTACTTCCTACAGTTTAAATTACATAACGCTAAATTAAATTAACTATACAATAGTTTATTTTTACTGTACTTATATTATTAAATTAACTTTTAGAGACATTTTTAGAATAACTTGATAGTTTATTGTGAGCAACGATATAATGTATAGATATTATTGTTAAAGCATTCAAAGTATGATATAGCATGGTCACAAGGATTATTTGTGAAATGCAATTTACAAAATTGTGCACTCATTTATGCTTTAATACCGGACACTATTTATATGCACTGAAAATGTACTGTCATTCACGTTATCAGTGTTTGTCAGTCATAGTCATTTGAAACTACCATTTATATAACTTATGCTACCATGCTTGGTCCATTTTAGGCTACTTGTCATTAGTTTTATAGTTAAATTATGTCATGAATTTTTATACAATATTTATATGCCTTTTGTGAAACTAAAAATAGGTTTAATTATGGGATCATTAATTGGAGGAATATTTATTAATAATATTGCGATTGGAATACTGTATGACTAATTGATTACATTAACTAATAATCATGGAAAAGCTATTGATTAAACAGTATACTGTATGAGAAATGGACTTTTAAACCCACTTTTTACAAAAATTACTATATAACATATGAATATCTAAATGCAATGATTCACACATTAATTGTACTGTATAGAAATGATTTAATTTTTATATTCGTGTCAATTAATGGAAAAGGCTACTATAAATGTCCAAGATTCATATACAGTAATTTTAAGCTACATTTTATGATCTCTTTCCTTGAAAGAGTTCCCATTTTATGGAAGTAAGCCCTCAAAACTTATCAACACATTTAGATAATGAGTTTTAGGACACCCTTTGAATATTTGAATTAAACATTTGAATAGAAATGATAGCATTGTGGACATTACAGGTGCACGCATCGAAAGGGGGCTGTCAGTGTAACCAAGCAATTATGCTGATCACTGATGGAGCACCCGAGACATTTGAAGATGTCTTTCGTACGTACAACTGGCCTAACATACCGGTCAGGGTTTTCACATATCTTATTGGCCGTGAGGTCACTGATAGTCAAGAAGTATATTGGATGGCCTGTCATAATAGGGGTGAGTTGTTTGATAGCATATATTGACCAGTGAAATAAATGTGAAAATATATGTATTTGGTTCAGGGTATTACACACATGTGTCCAATTTGGCAGAAGTGCGGGAACAGGTCCAGCAATACATACCTGTCATGAGTCGGCCGATAGTGCTGTCCGGGGAACGAGTGTTTGCGTGGACTCCAGTCTACGCTCACGTTTCCGTGAGTGATGTTTGTGTTTATGATTTGATTGAATCGCTTATAATGTCTAATAAAAACATTTTGATATTCATAACCAATAATTAATAACATTTTGTTTTGCGCACAATTTGTAATGGGTTTTGAAACTTAAAGGAAGTGCCTCTAAGTGACTGGGTTTGGGAGGAAAGAGGTCCGTATCACATCATATCTATATAAATATCATACACTGTGTTATACCAGAGATTCTGTAAGGGTTTTGTATTCTTGTTTTAAATGCAATCACTAATAGAAAAGGAAATTAAGACTAAAATACTGCAAC